ATATATATATATATATATATATATATCTTTCCAAAAACAAACTGTGAACACCAGGAGTATATCAAACTATACAAAGTTTAATAACATAAAACATAAAACAAAACTACACCAAGCTTTCGTCGGACTCCTTCCGACTTCGTCAGGGTTACGTGCCAGTCCATGAGAGAGTCTCTTTTATACGCCATCCATCATCTGCGCCATCCATCATCTACGCCATCCATCATCTGCATCATCTGTGTGTGTGTGTGTGTGTGTGTAGCATGTGTGTGTATGTAGCATATGTTATGTATGTGTAAGGGTAGATATATACCAGGCGTGTCAAACTCGCGACATCATGTGACGTTGTGTGACGTATCACGACTTTTTCCCCATTGCCGGCAATGGAGTGGGTGCAGTTTTGGCGTGACGCATCCGGCCTGCAGGCCAGCAGTTTGACATGCCTGATATATACTTTCTTTCAAAGCAGGCAGCACAATTTCATTTTTAATGTGGGCCAGTGTGCTCATAGTAAAAAATGACAATAAAGCTTGTCTTGTCTAGTCTAGTCTTGTCCTGTCCTGTCCTGTCCTGTCCTGTCCTGTCCTGTCCTGTCCTGTCCTGTCCTGTCCTGTCCTGTCCTATCTATCTTATCTTATCTTATCATATCTTATCCTAACCTAATCCTAACCAGTTGCAGACAAACAGAACCCACATGGAGGGGCCTGAGTTTCAACCGCCAACTTGATATTTTTCACCCCCACATCCAAGTGCTTCTGTCCGGAGCACCCACAGAGATGCAACTAAAAAAGCTCCAAGGGAATAGATGAAAAGCTCCATTCTGCACAGCCACTCTAGGCTCCCACTTCTATGACCCCAGCCAGCAGCAGCCCCAGTGACACAAAACAACCCTTGTGGATTTGGACTTAATCATGCTGCCTGGAAATGCCTGAGCTAGGTTGTGAAACGCAAGGTTGTTTTTAAACAACTAAGTAAATTACAACATGCAGACCAGTCAGGGGAGGGTGATTGTTCTCTGATTTTGCACACAGTTTCAAATGTTGTGCAGGAGGAAATTTATCTGTTTCATTAAAAATCCTGAAATCTCCCCAAGAATCTGATGGATTTTTCCCACCAAGCAGCGGATTAAGGCAGCGGTTTCCAAACTTTGCGGCAGGGGACAGGGGAACTGGGCCGCGTGAGCAGTGGCCCCAGTGTGTGCACATGTACACACACAGCTCAACTTGGCATGAGTTGAGCTGTGCGTGTATGTGTGCACACGCTAGCCTGTCATTTGTGTAAGTTGAGTTGCACGTGCATGTGTGCCAGCCCGCCAGTCTTGCAGCCCAGTACTGAATAGGCCACAGCTTATTGGGGACCCCTGCTTTAAGGGCCAAACACATGCCCACTTTCGGCAAAGCCGAAGGGCTGTTACTTTTGCCCATTTTTGAGCCCTTAATCTCCCAATGCAAAAAGGAGAAAAAATGCTGAGCAACTGCATGTTGAAAAATAATTAATGAAGCTAATTGGAGCTGCCACCATTCAGTCCCTTCTCACCAGTTTCATAGTAATCGTAGACAATCGCTGAGGCAGGCTTCAGACCCTGGATGGGTGTCTCCTGCTCCACTGTGAAAGAGAAAGTCTGGATTGTGTTGCTTACCTGCAGAGAAAAGTTGATTATGAGATTACTTGAGGGGAGGTTTAAGCAAGACAGACGGTTCTGCAGACATCACACTGTTGAGTCCTTTCTGATCTCTGAGCTTGGTTGTTTGCTTGAAGATGTTTTATTACCTGCCTAGGTATCATCATCAGTCCTAGTGATGTGGAATTTGCCATTTGAGCATCCTTTGGCTGAGAAGATACTATTATTTAATATGGGGAGAATTCCAACTGACATATTCTAATGTTGTAATAGAATTAAGCAGCATCATGACAGATGAGAGATATGCTATTTGTTTACGTAGAACAGGGTTTCTCAAACTTACTGGCTGAGGAATTCTGGGATTTGAAGTCCATGCATCTTGAAGTTGCCGATGGTTGTGAAACACCGACATAGGAAATATACCTGCCTCTGAGTGTACATCTTTGTGTAAAGTGTGGAAGCTGTCCTTGACCAGAAATAGAGAGTGTGGCATCCACTTGAAAAAACTCAACCCATAATAAGCTTGTAACTCTTTGCTTCCAAGAAAAATAAGGACAAGGAGAAAATAAGCTGTCCTGCCCTGCATTTTATCTCCTTGACTGAATGATCTTGTCCCCTGCTTGGGCTCTGCTCCTGATGCTCACTCACCTCCTCCAAGTATAGCAGGACATGATTGATGTTCACTTCAGTCCTCTTCACCTGACTCTGTTTTTCCAGCTTGAGGTGTGGAAACATTGGGGAAAAAACACAAAGAGCTTTAGTAGCATTCATAGTCATACTTATTTAACTAGTTCAGGGGTAGGCAACCTTGCCTCTTTTATGACTCGTGGACTCCAACTCCCAGAATTCCTGAGCCAGCATGGCTCAGCTTGGAAACCTCTCCCTTTCCCCTCAGCATTGCTGGCTCAGGAATTCTGGGAGTTGAAGTCCACAAGTCATAAAAGAGGCAAGGTTGCCTACCCCTGAACTAGGTGGTTATAGAGTTGGAGCTGATGTTGTAAGTCACTAAGTTAAACCTCCTGCTCAGTAAAGAATCCGTGATGTCATCTTTGGCAGATGGCCTTCCAATCTTGAAGGCCTCTAGTGGAGAAAAATTCAGCACTTCAAGCGGCAGCCTGTTCCACAGGCTACCTGCTCATACAATCAGGAATGTCTTCTGAGTCTAGCCTGAATCTGCTTCCTGGTAGCAGTAACCCACTCATTCTGGTCTTTGTCTCTGGGGCAATTGAAAACAAATCTATTCTTCTTCTGTATGACAACCCTAAAGACAGTTGCTGTATCACTCCTCCAGTCTAATGAAAAGAAGAACTAAGAACTGACTTGACTACAGTGTTCCAATATCTGCCACGAAGAAGAGGGGGGGGTCAACCTATTCTCCAAAGCACCTGAAGGCAGGACAAGAAGCAACAGATGGAAACTAATCTGGACCGGGACGCCCTACGCACGGTCACTCATGCCCTTGTGACTTCCCGCCTGGACTACTGCAATGCTCTCTACATGGGGCTTCCCTTGAGGAGCACCCGGAGGCTCCAGTTGGTCCAAAATGCGGCCGCGCGGGCGGTGTTGGGAGGGACTCGTCACTCCCACGTTACGCCGCTTCTGCGCGAGCTGCATTGGCTA